ACAACAACAACAACCCAGTAAAATCCCACTAATAGGGTCTGGGGAGGGTAGTGTGTACGCAGACCTTACCTCTACCCCAAATGAGTAGAGAAGCTATTTTTGAAAGATCGCCGGCTCAAGAAAATAAAAAGACAAAAGGATAAAAGGAGACAATATTAGTAACACCATAACAATCATAGGAAAAATAGGAACACCATGAAATTCAGAAGAAAGATGCAAAGCAAAGGGAGACAATATTAATGTCACCACAGCAATCATAAGAAAAATAAGAACACCATGAAATCCAAAAGAAAGATGCAAAACAAAAGCGATAGCTAGTAAATAGGATCTGCACTGAAAAGCGAAATAGTAAAATACAACATTGTCACTAGCTATCTTAGACAAAAACCCTATATAGCTAGTCCCACAATGGTACGAAGTAAGGCATGACTCAACTACCTCCTAACCTACAACCCTAATACTTGACCTCCACATCTTCCTATCAAGTGTCATGTCCTTGAAAATCTGGAGCCTCGCCATATCCTGCTTGATCATCTCTCCCCAATACTTCTTAGGTCGCCATCTACCTCTTCTCGTGCCCTCCACAACCAGCCGCTCACACCTCTGTACTGGAGCATCTGGGCTTCTCCTCTGAACATGTCCGAACCATCTAAGCCTCACTTCTCGCATCTTATCATCAATAGGAGCCACGTGCACCTTCTCCCGAATATCATCATTCCTAATCCTATCTATCCTAGTGTGCCCGCACATCCACCGCAACATCCTCATTTCTGCTACTTTTATATTCTGGATATGTGAGTTTTTAACGGGCCAACACTCAGCCCCATACATCATGGCCGCTCTAACCACCGCTTTATAGAACTTACCTTTGAGTATCGGTGGCACTCTCTTGTCACACAGGACTCCAGATGCTAACCTCCACTTTATCCATCCTACCCCAATACGGTGTGTGATATCCTCATCGATCTCCCCCCTCCCCTGGATAACCAAACCAAGGTACTTGAAGCTGCCTCTACTCGGGATGACCTGCGAATCAATCCTCACATCCACACCCACTTCCCCTGGCTCAACACTGAACTTACACTCCAAGTATTCCGTCTTCGTCTTGCTTAGCTTGAAACCCTTAGACTTAAGAGCCTGTCTCCAAACCTCCAGCCTCTCGTTAATACCGGTTCGCGACTCATCAATCAGAACTATGTCATCGGCGAATAGTATGCACCATGGCACATCCCCTTGAATATGGTGTGTTAACGCGTCCATCACCAGGGCGAATAAGAACGGACTGAGCGCAGAACCTTGGTGTAACTCCATTACAACCGAAAAATGCTCAGAGTCGCCTTCTACTGTCCTAACCCGAGTCTTAGCCCTATCATACATGTCCTTAATTGCCATAATGTAGAAAACTGACACACCTTTTGCCTCCAGGCATCTCCAGAGAACTTCTCTAGGAATCTTGTCATATGCTTTCTCTAGGTCAATAAAAACCATGTGCAGATCTTTCTTCCTCTCTCCGTACAGTTTCACCAACCTTCTAACAAGGTGGTTGTCGTTCCAGAGAATGACCCGACATGAACCCTAACTGGTTGTCGGATACAGACACTGTCATCCTCACTCTCGCTTCAACCACCCTCTCACACACTTTCATGATATGACTCAGTAATAATAAAGTGAACTACTTAAGATTCAAATTTCTGAAGTTGCATTTGAAAGATAAAAGAACATCAGATTTGATTTCTGAAGTTGCATTAAAGAGATTCAACTACTTCACATCCGAGCGGATAATTGACTCAAACTTCAAATAATATTTATTCATATTTTCAAATATTGCATATACGGAATTCACATTAATTAATGATCATTCTCTATACACAGCTTTACGAATGACAGCTCTCAATAATATAATCAAACCTTATCATAAAAGACAACTCTCAATAATATAATCAAATCTTATCATAAACTCATAAATGTTGTTAATATTTAGTTTGTATTTTCGTTTCGTTTTATTTAACTTAAATACATATTAGAAGGTAAAATAATTTTAGCCTAATACATATTTTCCTCCCTTAATATGCCAATTCCTTTGACACACCGCAGTTTTACGTGTAACATTCTCGCTAATCCCTTTTCAATCAAATTAATTTTATTTGTAAGGTAGTTTCTCTGCCATTCAAAAATGAGTAGTTTTTTTGTTTTATATTTTTTTATAGATGAACTTCTCAATTATTGAAGAATTACTTTTCATAAAATAAATTGGTATACATTTATATTATGCTAAATAATTAAAATAATGTTTAATATAAATATACACATAATTAATGTTAGTGCATAGCGGGAGCTTAGTGCACCGAGCTGTCCTTTTTTATACACCTAATTAATGTTAAATGGTTAAACTCTAATAAAGAAAAACAACATCTAGAATATTACTTGAAGTTGCTAACATATGAGAAGGGTCTATCAGAAACAGCCTTGTACCTGCACAAGATATAGATAAGGTCTGTGTACATACTATCCCGTGGGACTACACTCGTCATTGTTGTTGCTAACCTAGTAAATCATAAGAAAGTATTCAACATTAGTCCAAGAAACAAAAGAACCCTTGTTTGTTTTTGTACCTGTTAATTTTATCAAAGTTTTCAAACAAATGAAATATCAGAAAATTTTCCTAAAACCCAAATGAAGCTATAGTTTTTAGAATTTACATTCACCATATTTATGGGAAAAAATCAATTATTAAAGTTTAGAAAAGTAAATTTGCTAATGTGTGAAATTATTCAGTTATATATTAACTTATTAAAATACCATCTAAATATAGGAATATAACAAAATTTCGAAATAATGGCCATTCAAGGTTTCCTTTTTCAAAATAAAATGTTAATTTAATATCCAAAATTAATTTAAAATTTGGAAAAAATAAACACAAAAATAAAGTAAACAAATACATTATGATTAGTTTTGGTACTCTAATTTTCCTATTTAGTGATGTTCACGTATTTTGTCTTATTATGGTACCTTAAAAAGTTTTATGTTATGAAATATTAATATTAATGTGAAAACTTAGTATAACAAATTTGAGTTCTACTAAAAATAAGGATGTTATCCTGTAGGATTCCAATACTATTCTGTTTTTATTATTTTAAAATGCTATTTTCTTTTAAACATCACCGCGTTGTAAATTGAATCCTTATAAAATTCATACAAAATTATAAAAGCCAAAATAAAAACAAATTCAATTTGTTGATCGTGACCGATGAAAGTGAGTTTATTTGTCTATCATTTTTATTGAGTAAAAATGAGTAAAGGTGATCAGGCTCAAGGTACAGAGATTAAAAATACAAGAATTGAAGGTGCCAAATAATGTATTCATCCATTAATCTTCAATAGACATCTTGATGTGAGCCATGTGTACGTTGAAAATTTAAGAGCTGAGATTGCATTGTGATTTCCCCATTCTGTCACCTCAAGTAACTTTAAGCAAAAATTACATAGTTATTATAAATGAACGACAATCTCCCTTAATCTTTTCCGACATCCATCTCGTCAAACCCGAACAAGCTGCTCATAGAAGGAGTGCTTTTACTTTGCTTCTGACTCTGCTCCTTCACTGACTACTCTTCTCATGATATTAAATGTTGGGAGTATTTTCTTGCTATATCATCTCTATAGCGTTTCTCCATGAATGATGACCCAAAACTCTTCATTTTTCTGGTTTTTTTGAGTATTGAAATGGGTGCAATCTCTTGTTTGTTTTGTAATCTAGTCTTTAAGCAGAAACAAGGAGGTTCAGTAGTTGATGGAACCTTATGTGTCATTAAAAGTTGGCTTTGGACCCCACATGCTTTAGGGAAAAGGTGCCTGACTTCTTCCACGTATCACTAAGGACCCATTTGGCCATAAAGTTTGCTAAAATAAATTTGGGTTTCATTTGGTAAACATATGTTTGGCCATAGATTTTGCTTATATTTTGGCCAAATCCCAAATCCCAAATCTCAAAATCAGTTTTGGGCCAAAATATCACTATTATATTTTTTAAAAATTGCCCCAAACTTTTGTATTTTATAAAAGAGCCCACCATTTATTATTTTATAACGATGTTTCTTCGTCTTCTCGGTCATCTGATAGTGTATCATGTAGTTCATTATAAAAATGATAATTTTGTATCAAAGTTATTTATGTTCAGGACTATGGTTTGCGATAATATAATGAATGTTATTGATAATAATATTATTGGGTATTTGTGATAGTTTTTAGAACTTGTGAGTATAAGTCATGTTTTATATTTTTCCAAACCAAACTTCACTCAAAACAAATGTCCAAACACATTTTCATCTTCAAACCAAATTTCACCCAAATCAGAGTTTTCAGAATAAATTTGGGAATCTATGGCCAAACGCTAGTTAAATCATCAAGTTTTGTGGGTAAATTCTTGAAGCTTGGTCAATAAAAAGGGCTTAAGTCATGGGCCAGGCAGGCATGTTGATGATACATGCAGCTGAAGGACCCAAACTGTTGCTTCTAATATAAGAGTAATGAATTAAGCAGCCAAACAAATTCATACATGATTATTGAAGGTTCTATCGCCTAAACCACTAAAAAGGCTTGCTTTACTAGTTGTATAGAGTATATAGAGAGATGCATCTACTCTTTGTTAAACCAAGAAATAGATTAATTTCATAACTCTAAAACATGAATTCCCCTATGTGAATGTGTTAGCAAAAATCCTCTAACGAGCATCATCGTCACCACACATACTTCTGTGCTACACTTTTGGGATTGGCAATAAGCATGCTAGCTACAATCTAATTGACATACTGCCACCCCAATAGCCAACTTACTGATTCTGAAGCTCACATCCGAATTATACCTCATATATAATAGTTGGACAACAAATTCGAACTGTTGCGTAGAGGAGTAACAAGTGTCTCTTGCATCCTTAGTTTGGGTAAAAGTACATACTAACTTAATTAAGGGGTAGATACAAATCCTTGCAGTATTCGTTTCCATGACTTTCAAATAGACTTCAAAATGACATTGCTAAAGAAAGTTATGACATATGAATTACAGGAAAGTGCACACACCTTTTTGTGTACACAAGATATGAATGCGCTTCAGCAGGTGACGTAGCGTAATGCAAGAGACCCAATAGCTAGTAATGTATGAACATATCAAAAGAAGGAAGCATGGCGATGATGTTGTTACTGCGCCTGTTTCCCATTGTAATTGTCGTCTCATAAATTAGTTCACCCCCAACGTAGGCAACACTTCGTTCAACGTGCACTGTTCGTGCTTCTTCTTTTGATCGCCTGTATGCATGCCACAGACTAATTACAACAAACAAAACAAATGCAATAGCTAATAGCCACGACAGAGTCCAGTAATACTTATCAACTCGACTCTTATTCAGCGTATCCTGAAGCCAACTTACTTTATTCCCCCTCTGACTAACCTTACTCACTACGTACACTATCAAAATGTTGCTTATACATCCTAACCCGTGCATCAAATTGACGGCAGTGATCATATACGAGGCAGATATGGGCTCAAAGTACATATTGTAGTAATTCTCCAGGCTGTTTCCAAACATCCCGTCTGCTGCCCCAAGAAGAAGATACTGTGGAAGCAGCCAGAACACAGTCATTGGAATTTTTTCGTCCGTCTCGCCTGCTAAACTATACATCTTTACCATAGCGAGTCTTCTTGACTCCACTTTTGCAGCAGTAATAGTGCATAATACCCCCAAAATGATGGATACTGCAACCCCCACTCTAGGAGCTGATGGTTTTGCTTCTGAACCCCATCGCCAATTCATAAATATGTGATATATTTTTTGAAACTGTTCTCTTGCTTCAAATTGGAACCATAGGAAGACAGCTAGAGGAATTCTTAGGTTCCCGACCTTATTGTTCATAGTCTTTGCTTGCTCTAGAAAGTAGGTGTATGACAGAGAAGTCAAAACCCCACCAAGAATGTAGGTCATACACAGTGGGAACTTGCGAATTACAAATTTAGTAGCTTCAACCTCAGCAACGCTGCAAAGCCTCCATCTATTCCTCAGTTGCTGCTCTAGAGTCTGGTCGGGCAAGATTATTGCAGCCTTATCAAGACACCTGAATTGAGTTTTGCACAATTATTTGTCAGTATAATTCTTCTCATATATATATATATATATGACGATGAGGACCCTATTGCCTTGTGACAGCTGAGTCTGTTCTAGATCATCAGTTCACATTGAAAGGGTAGACACCGGTAGCAGAAAATATCTTTACAACTAAGATGGCAAACCAAAATAAAGAAACATGCTTAAACTTGAGATTCTTCTTAAGATTAAAGCAAACACAAATGGAGCAAAACACAGACAATGAGACAGCGAGAGAGGACCTCAGGCTATTGGTGTGAGGCAGTGATTGTATGCCAGGGTCAGATATGTTATACAGCTGTGACACATCTGTAGGCAGTCGATAGAATAACTTAGAGATAGACGCTGCAAAGACCCGGAATAAAGTAGTGATCGGGCTACCTTCTGGTTTAACATACTTATAGGTACAAGATCCACTAAAGAAAATAAAGGCTGCAACTGTGTAACATATTGCTGGGACACCAAACCAAAGCGACCACGGTGATATGTATGAAAATCCCAAAACAGCAGCAGCTTTGAACAGAATCACTGCATAACGTTGCAGAGACCAGATAGACGGACTGTTAGCATTTTGTCCAAGTTGCTCAAGTAGGAAAGCGCGTAAGCTTACTGCTTGACCAGCTGTTCCCAGAGCACACAGAGCCAATGCTATGTAGAAGAGTATACGCTGGCCTTCACCGATGCATTCAGGCTGATAAGCACTGCATGTTCCAGTAGCCTTAGCAAGGACTGGTGGTGTTGACATTGTTAAAAAACCCATGCCCTATGTAGAAGAAACTTTGACTTAATATAAAGTGAATTTCTATTTTATACTCCAATTAAGGGAAGAGTTCTAAGCATTAAATAAGGTTCACAGATCACACTGGCAGATTTCTCGGGTTCAGTAAATTGACACGTCAAGGTTTTGAGTTTTACCGTGGGAAACAAATCGTAATTTAGCACAAGAAAAAACTTAGCTAGACTTAATAAAAAGTGAACTTCCATTAGACTCCATTAGGCTAAGAGAGTAAGAGTTTAAAGAAGTTCATACTGACAGCTTTCTCCAGTAAAATAAGTTCATACGCTTAAGTTTTGGGCGATAACTGTTGGAAGCAAATCTGAATTGAGCACAAGAAACAAGGTTTCAAGGAAGATTAAATATGAAATACAGTAGTGGTAGCTCAGTATGGTGTTTCAAGGTAATATTTGGTCTAATTTTACTCAAACTCAAATCTTTCTATATATATATATTAATTTGTTGCGAGATCTATGGACGGCAATCACTGCAGACGAGCAGCTTGACCATGTTTCCTTCAGATGTGTGTCATGCAACGCAGTGTTAGGAAAGATGGTGCAAGCTGACTCAAGCTAACAGGACAAGGACGGGGCGATTGTGAAATGAGTAAATATTCTGAATTACAAAAAGAGAATGCAGAAATTAAATAATTTAACAATGAGAATGTACCACACAATAGGCGAATATAGAACCCATTAGCACTGGATAGTTGCCGAATAAACCATGAGCAGAAAACAGCATGACTGACTGTAGGATTGTCAGCAAACCAAAGAAGACGCTGACAATTGCAGCTGCGTCTGTGAGTTTGAGCTTCCATACATCAGTCAAGTACACCATCAACATCCACAGAGCATAATGCACGGGAATATTAGCCCAAGTAATGGCTACAACAACAACGAAATTCAAAAACCACATGTTATCATCTCATGAGTCAGAAGGTATTAACAGCATAACATTTCTTCGTAAGAAACTAAAACAAATCGATGAAATAACTATAAGGAGCAGTAAAAATTATCCCAAAGACGTCACTGTATTTGCATATTGCCAAGACATAAAGAGTTCAGCATGTCATGGAATCAAAAGCTGCAATGTCAACTTTATAATCAAACATAGCTCACAAAAATGTTGGAAGTAGGAATAATTACATAAGATTCTGTAAACCATCATTGTGTCGGAACTTGTATCACCGCCTCAAACAAAATCGGTTAAGAATAATGTAGGCAAAGTGAATAACAAAACTGGCACAAGAGTGGGATGTTTATATAAAGGGGATGTTGCGGTACTCAATTTTAGAGGTGAATGGATGAGTTGTATTCCCATATTTGGATTAACAGTTGACATTCTGCCCACCAACCTACTAAAGTCCAATGGTGCACTTTCCTCTTGTAGGACAGACAAGACAGATAAAGATGCATAATTTAAGTAAGAGAACCATTGACTTGATTTGTTCATACCCAAATCAGGAGCTACTCATTCTTATAGTTCATTCCAAGAAATTACATCATAGGTCACCTTTTGTGGGTTGTCTTTCTTAGCAAGCAAATTAATAACAAACACGGGAACGACTTTCTAATTAACATTCTCTCTGGCCAACTATAATTATGTAGAAATATCATCATATATAAAGAGTAAACTAATTCAGCTTGAGTTACGCTTGAATCATGTTGTAGCTAATTTCAATCCTATCCCTAGATTTTTGTATTTTATTAGATTTTGTCAGAGGGTGAGTAAGATTTCAATTATACCAAGTATAGAATGTCTCAAAAGATAGGTACTTTGTACACATAAAAGTACCTTTGGCAACTCCTAAGAGGCACTTTCATCTCTAGGTCAAGCTTTACTAAAATAGCAGGTGATGGTGATTTACATGCAATTTGAATAAAGAAAATGCATGAATTATTATTTTAATGAAAAATAAATGACAAGTTGCATCATGCATTGCTATACAGAAAAGTAAAAGGCAAGAGGAAAGTTGCCCCTGATTCCAAAAAGCTAAAGTTTGACCCAAGATCCAGTTTGGATTTGTATATACCTAGTTCAAAGGCTTCATTGTCAAAATCATAAAATACTGCAATTCCCACTTTGTACAGTTCATTCTCAGTTTTCCCACTTTGCTATTCTCAGTTTTTCTAGACTATCATAAGTCCTGTCATTATCATTTATCAGCCTGCAGCATTTAAAAAATAGATCATTTTAAAAATAATCTTGGGATGATGAGAGCAAATTCTGAGACATAAATAAATTCCTCCGACTTAGATTATCAAATTGAAGAAAAAAAAGAGGAAAATAGGAAGGTGGAATTAGGACTTTCCTCGGTTGGTGCAATATGGCTGTGGCAACTGAATTTCAGGATTTTTCAATTTGTAACTTCTTACTTACTCATAGATTTTTTCCTTCTTACTCATAGATTTTTCTTATGAATTAGAGTACTTTATCCTAATAATTAAAAGTTTCTTATGTTTTTAAGTTAACTTAATCATTATTAAACAATAAATAATTACTATAAAAGTTTATTTTGGGAAACATTTCTTATTGTATTTTTATTTTAACTAGTTCATCGACACGTATGATACATCGTGAATGCCGGTTCATGTAGTACATAATTTTGTAAAATGATATCAACTATTATTAAAATAAAAGTTTGAGTAAATAATTATAATTTATGAAATAATAAAGTATAAGTTTTTATGAATACTTAATATGGATCGTCGTATGGTGAAATTTTATACACTTATTACAGATAATTACTCCACGTGTTTTTTTCAATAATCTGATGGCGTGGAATTTTTTTGTACTGGCAATTTATTTAAATTAAACAATAATATTCCAAACCATTGTTTTAAAAGGTTTTCTTGGGACTCGTCTCAGGGGTCGCCCGGGGCGGGCACTATCAAATTGCCCCAAAGCTCACGTGTGGGGCTTAGTTCTGTGAGGTTTAACCTCCAAGTATCCGATTGTGTGCTCGAAACACGCCTACTGCTCAACGCTTGGGCTCACCTAACAGTTTCTTATACAAATCATACATCAAATTTCCTAATTAGCCTTGTTGCCCTTCAAAATTCTTTAGAAAATGAATGATTAAAGTTCTATTTTATCTATATATAGAAATATAAAAATTGAGAGATTCAAAATAATAAGCCATATTAGTACATATTTACTAACTGAGAATATTTCTTCTGAATAGATAGCCAGAATTTATATTTTTACTTACTACAAGTCTTCATATATTTGTTTTATGTCTCTCAAATTATTAATTTTTATTATTTTGCTATTTGAAATTAATTTTATAATAAAAATATTATTTTAAATTACAGTACTAATGAAGTTTATTAATTATTAACTTTTAGAGCGTTAAAATGTAGTCCGATACTATTTTTTTATGAAAGTTTGATTTTTAATTGTTTGTAAGATAAGATGTTATAGTTGATTTTTATCTCATAGTAACTTTTACAATATTGCATTATTTATATTTATAATTTATATTTTTAGATATTTTGGTTTCTATAGTTTTTTTTAATTCTTTTCAATTTTCCTAAACTTTTAATATACTTTACATATTTTTATAGATGTTATGCTATTTTATTATTTTATAAATTAAATTTTTAAACATCCATGGGGCTTACGCCTCGCCCCACGCCCCACGTTAAGGAAAACGCCCCACCAGCTCGCGCCCCACCTTTTAAAACACTGTTCCAAATATGCGAGCATTTGGATAACTTTTGAAAGAAGTTGTATAAAAGCATTTTTGGAGAAAAGGGTTGGTAGAAAAAGAAAAATGTAGCAGCAGTCTGGGGAGCAATAATTTACCATATATGGAGGGCGAGGAACTGGATTATTTTTAGGAATCAAAATGTACATATAGAGGCAGTTATAGCACATATCAAAAAAGAACTTGTAGATAGAGTAGAATTTCTTAGTGTGTCGAGGAAAGCAAGAAGTAGGAATGCTGTTTTACAAAGAATTCTGTGTACTTAGATTTTATTCTGGAAGCCTAAATTTTCCAACATTAACCTTCCTAAAAGGTAGATGTGTGTTTAGGTGCTCGTTAGGTGTATTGATGATCATGTTGGTTGGTATGGTAATAATATTCACAGTTGTTACCCAAAAAAAAAAAACATGTTTGTAATTTGTGGTTACTTTTTGCCGAAAGATTTGCGAGACTTTTGACTGTAACAAGAGTTTCCAATTAAAAATGCCCTCAAAAACCTGCTTCATTTAAAAGAAAAATTCAAAAACATTAGTAGAAAAAACTTCTTGGAAGTGTGAGTTTACAGAGAGGAACATGTATATAAAGAAAGTTATGAAATACAGGAAAGTGCAATGAACTCTTTGTTTAAACCAAAGGAAGGATGCATAGGATTAGAAAAGTTAGTAGTTCTTTACTACACAAGATATGGAATGTGCTTCAGCAGATTCTGTGTTACAACCACCATCATTCCCTATAAACATATCATTACCCAAAAGAAGGAAACATGTCAATGATGGTACCGTTATTGCGCCTATTTCCCACTCTATATGTCATCTCATAAATTGTTTCAGTCCCAATACGGGTAACACTTTGTTCGATGTACACTGTTCGTGCTTCTTCTTTTGATCGCCTGTATGCATACCACAGACTAATCACAACAAACAAAACAAATGCAATAGCTAATAGCCACGACAGACTCCAGTAGTACTTATCAACTCGACTCTTATTCAGGGTATCCTGAAACCAACTTAGTTTATTTCCCCTCTGACTAACCTTACTCACTATGTACACTAACAAAATGTTGCTCATACATCCTAATCCCTGCATCAGATTGCAGCCACTGAGCATGTACGACGCAGATATGGGCTCAAAGTAACCACTGTAGTAACTATTAAAGCTCTTTGCAAACATCCCCTCTACCGCCCCAAGAAGGAGATACTGTGGAAGCAGCCAGAACACAGTCATTGGAATTTTTTCATCGGTCTCGCCTGCTAAACCATAGCTCTTTACCACAGCGAGTCTTCTTGACTCCACTTTTGCAGCAGTAATAGTGCATAATACACCCAAAATGATGGATACTGCAACCCCCACTCTAGGAGCTGATGGTTTTGCTTCTGAACCCCATCGCCAATTCACAAGTATGTGATATAATTTTGGAAATTGTTCTCTTGCTTCTAACTGGAACCATAGGAATACAGCTAGAGGAATTCTTAGGTGTCCAACCTTATTGTTCATAGTCTTTGCTTGCTCCAGAAAGTAGGTATACGACAAAGAAGTCATAACCCCCCCAAGAATGAAGGTCACTGACATAGGGAATGTGCGAATTGCAAATTTAGTGACTTCAATCTCAGCAATGCTGCAAAGCCTCCATCTATTCCTCAGTTGCTGCTCCAGAGTCTGGTCGGGCAAGATAATTGCAGCCTTGTCTAGACACCTGAATTGAGTTTTGCACAATAGTTTGTGTTAGTACAATTCTCTAATATAAATACACTAATCCATGATAGACGGCAATTGAGAAAAAGACGAGGAGGATTCTATTGACTTGTGACATCGAGTCTGTACTAGATCACCAGTTCACAACGGACAAGGGTAGAGATGGGTAGCAGAAAAGATCTTTAAAATCTAAGATGGAAATTAAAATAAAGAAACATGGACTGAAACTTGAGATTTTTCTCAAGTGTAAGGCAAACACAAATGGAAGAAATCACAGATAATGAGAGAGCGAGAGAGGACCTCAGGCCATTGGTGTGAGGCACGTATTGTCTATTACGGTCAGATACGTTATACAGCTGCGACGCATCTGTAGGCAGTTGATAGAATAACTTGGAGATGGACGCTGCTAAGACCCGGAATAAAGTAGTGATAGGGCTACCTTCTGGTTTAACATATTTATAGGTACAAGATCCGCTCAAGAAAATAAAGGCTGCCACTGTGTAACATATTGCTGGGACACCAAACCAAAGTGACCACGGTGATATGTATGAAAATCCCAAAACAGCAGCAGCTTTGAACAGAATCACCGCAAAACATTGCAGAAACCAGATGCAAGGCCTGTTAGCATTTTCTCCAAGTTGCTCAACTAGGAAAGAGGGAAAGCTTACTGCTTGACCAGCTGCCCCAAGAGCAGACAGAGCCAACGCTATGTAGAAGAGTATGCGCTGGCCTTCGCCAATGCATTCAGGCTGATAAGCACTGCATGTTCCAGTAGCCTTAGCAAGGACTGGCGGTGTCGACATTGTTAAAAAACCCATGCCCTACATACAAGAAACTTTCAAGAACTGAAAGTGAATTTCAATTTATACCCCAATTTGGGTAAGAGTTCTTGGATTGTAAAAATCAGTAAGAGAAGGTCAAGAAATTTGGATAAGAGTTCTAAGCATTAAAAATGTTCATGGGTTCGCACTTCGCACTGACAGATTCTCTGGTTTAGTATATTGAAACGTCAAAGTTTTTAGTTAGTACTGTTGGAAACAAATCCTAATTTAGCACAAAAAGAAACTTAGACTTAATAGATAGTGAATTTCCGTTTTGCTGAGGACATAATTAAAAAAAATGTGTTCTCTTTCTAACAACTTAAACGATGAGATGATCACACACATTCAAGAAGGTATAAGGGCAGACAGAGGTCTTGGGTTCGAGTCTCAGCGCCACCCATTATCAAAAAGAATTTTCACGTGCTTGGCCTATGAAAAAGAATCAGGCCCGCACACGAGGGGCATGTTGAGGACATAATTTAAAAAAATTAAATGTATGAATTGATATTCTTTTTTAGCTTTGGGCATTCTAGAGCTCGCACCACAAGAGATTGAGATCTAAGCATCAGAGTTTTGTAGAGATTTAACCAGTTTCTTTCAGGTGTCTTGGACAGAATTGCATCAAATATATTTGAGGTTCAGGAAAGAGAAGCAATTGGAAATTTATGACACAAATTGATGATGTAATGCATGGACATAAACAGGAAGAAAATTGTCATGGGAAATTATTAGATTGTGAAACTTGAGACACCCACCCTTTTTCATAAGGTAAAACAGAAGCAACAGATACCTGAATTGCAGCAGATTAATATTACACAAATTTGAAGAGATTTAGTCCATAACAAGATGTAACTAGCAAATCGGAGAGTCAGTCCAAGATTTTTCAGCCTTGAGCTTCAAGAGGACTAGGTTATCTCTGAGTTAATCTTTATCCTAACTGTTTCAATTGGCCATGAAATTTCTTTGGCAATGCATAAGGATTGAGTTATTGAGTTCTACTAATTAGTACCAATTTAGCAATACAAACAACAGAAAATCAACATATTATACATCTGCAAGCATATATTACTGCGACAGTTAAGGGAAATCTTTCTCCATTAGTTTGTTGTAAGACCTATGGACAGAAATCACTGCAGAAGAGCAGCTAGACCATACTTCCTTCAAATGTGTCTCATGCAATGCGGTGTTAGGAAGGAGGGTGCAAACTAACTCAAGCTAACAGGACCAAGAGCTCGATTGTGAATTGGGTAAATGTTCAAAATTACAGAGGAGAATGCAGGAATTAAATAACTTGACAATGAAAAATATACCACACAACAGGCGAAAATAGAACCCAATAGCACTGGATAGTTGCCGAATAAACCATGAGCGGAAAACAGTATGACTGACTGTGGGATTGCTTGCAAACCAAGGAAGACATTGACAATTGCAGCCGCATCTGTGAGTTTGAGCTTCCATACATCAGTCAAATACACCATCAACATCCACAGAGCATAGTGCACCGGTACTGTAACCCAACTAATGGCTACAGCAACAAAGAAATTCAAAAACCGCATGTTAGCATCTAATGAGTGAGAAGGTATGACCAGCATAACATTTCTTTGTAAAAAACTAAAACAAATTGATGAAATAACTGTAAGGAACAGCAGGAATTATCCCAAATCCGTCTCTGTTAGGTGCGCATTGGCAAGCTGTAAAGAGTTAAGCAAGCCATGGATTGAAAAGCTGTTATGCAACTTGATAATCAGACATAGCTCACAAAAATGTGGGAAGTAGGAATAATTACATAAGATTCTGTAAACCATTGTTGTCTCAGAACTTGTATCACCGTCTCAAACAAAAAATAGTTAAGCACAATATAGGACAAGCGCATAACAAAACCTGCACAATATTGTTGAAGAAGGCATGTGTGTGTGTGTATATATATAAAGGATGTTGCAGTACACAATTTTATAGGTCGATGAGCTGTATTTCCATATTCGAAGTAAACTTAATTAACAGTACAACCTACTCAAATTCAAGGGTGGACTTTCCTCTTGTAATACAGACAAAAGACAGATAAAGATGCATCATTTAACTACTAAGAGAAATAAGATATACTATTGTCATCACATAAAAAGAAGCCATTGACTGGACTTGTTCAACCCCATGTAAGGAGCTACTCATTTTTATAGTTAATTCCCAGAAATTACGTCATAGGTCATCTTTTATGTATTGTCTTAGCAAGCAAATAACATCCATGGAAAGGACTTCTAATTTACATTCTCCCTATCCAATTTGCATTATTTTGAAATATAATCATATTTAAAGTGTAAACTAGCTCAGCGTGACCAGTGCTTTGATTTCTGTAAGAGGGCAGAATTTCTGAAAGATAAGTACTTTGTTCAAGAATATATTTGGCAATTCCTCAGAGGCACTTTCTTCTCTAGATCAAGATACCAAACTTACTGATAGTAATGGTCAAGTGCATGCAATTTGTATTAAGAAAAGGCATGATTTTTCTTTTAAATGAAAAGTAAATGACAAGTTGCATCATTTAGTCAATGCAGGAAAATTAAAAAGCCAAATGAGCTAACCTAATTAAAAAACTGAGTTTGACCCAGAACCTAACTTGAGAATTTGGATTTCCCAGCTCAAAGGCTTCACTATCAGTAATCATAAAACCCCCACTTTCTACCGTTTACCTTAGGTTTTCCTCCATGAAAATTTGCACATCTTATGACAGGGAAGGGCCAATTGAGATTTCAAGAAAGACTGCTTTTCTTTTTTCCTATTAACAATCTGATATCTAAACTTACTAATCCAGATTTGCAACGGGTAAGGCCATTTAAGGCAAAACGTGAACTTTAACATTTTTAGAACTCAGAACTCCAAACTTCTATTCGTCAGACTCATTTATATATTGAAATAATTTATCTTCATACAATAATTTATAGCCACATAAAATATATGTGCCTCATTTTACACCACAAATTCAAAAGTCTTTTATCTTTTTTTTAATTTCGTGCCCAATCAAATGAGTTCACATAAATTAAAACGGGGAAGTATTAAGTTGTAAAACCCATATGTGAGACTATTACAAGTCCTACATCGTTATCAAACTTCAGTTTTTTAAACTAAAAGTTCCTGATGATCAGAGCAATATCTGAAACATAAATCAATTTGGCCCGACTTAATTTTGACGATTATGAACTGAAAATTAACAGATAAAAGGCGGGGCTAACAATTTCGTGAATGCTATATTGCGGCTGCGGCAACATGGAATCAATGATTTTTCTTGCCTGAGTCCGGTGGTAATAGATGTTGTGGATTAACCCGAATCTTGGTTTGAACAAAATTTAGTTAATTTAATTTTAGTAATAATATTAAATACTTCAAGTAAGAACTTTAAATAGTATTTAGTAAGTGTCAATTAATTCTTTCTTCGACTAACTGTTTTCTTCTGTTACAAAATACTACATTAAGTTGTAGACTTGTAACTACTTTTTCTAAAGATCTGTAAGTCTTTTTTGACTGTAAGAAGAGTTTTCATTGAAAAATCCCCTCAAAGGCCTGCCTCATTAGGAATTACATAAAAAAAAAAAAATCAAAAACATTATGAAAAGTTCTTGAAAAAAGAAAGTTAGATGAACATTTTTTTCTCAAAAAGTTATCACTAGCAAATTAATGCCCCCTAATATTCTTGAATTAGTTTGATTTAAAATTAAGAACTATACCCCTCTAAAATAGTTATGAATTGACGTGTGTTTGATACTTCAATTGGAGACCCAAAAAAAAGGTACTACATTGATTGAATTAATCATTAGTACACAATTTAAAGATGTCACATGCAGTTGGTGGATCGAGTAATATTCCGTACTTATTAATTTGTACGACGACTTTCCATAGTTGAATGATAAGAAGACTTGTTCAATGAACTTAATTTTTTTAATATCAACTAGTGATCGATGGGCGATGAGCTTAGTTATAAGATGTTGTTACAGCATGGGACTACAGCAGTGCAGGAATAGATTCGACGTTTTGCAATTTGCACCCACTGCCCTTCCTCGAACAATATACACATAAGTAAATTAGAGAATTTTTTAGTTGTACTGTAATAATATATCCAATATAATTTTACAAATAGGGTGTGAGCAAGGTAAGGGTGTACGCATACCTTACTGCTACCTTGTGTGAGATAAAGAGGTTATTTTCCGATAGACCCTCTATTCAAGAAAAAATTTGTTTTTAATTGTATGTGTGTAATAAATAGAAACAAGTCCAAAGTCCATTTATTCGAAATCTTGAATTATGCCTCTATTCTTTGATGTTTAGGGCCCCTTTGGCCATAAGAAAATTTTTATTTTTTTTTTGATTTTTTTACCTTTTTCGAAATTAGTGTTTGGCCATGAAAATTTCAAATTTCGTTGAATTTTGAATTTTTTCGAAAATTTGAAAAACTCCAAAAAGTTATTTTTCAAAATTTTCACTTCAAATCACTCACAAAAGTTCAAAAATAGCTCCAAATTATATACATGTCCAAACATAACTCTATTTTTTTCTACTTTTTTTCCGGAATTTCACAATTCTTGTGCCCAAACGCCCACTTAATGTCTTAGTTTCTTAATTAGACTAACTCCTATTCCACCATAGCTCCCTGCAATCAAATTTAATTTGTAATGGTTTCGAAATAACATCGAGTAGATATATTTTAGACTCCGTTCTCTGAATCAAAAGTCCTTTGGAGCTGATTTCGGAGTTGAGAGTGTTGAAATTGTCAAAAGTCCCACATCGGTGGATGACAATTTTGAATGGGAATTTCACCCTATAAAAGGAGGCCTAATGTTTAGGATTTAGGTACACCTCTCATTTGCCTTTTTATCTTCTTAAGGCATTTGTATCTTCTCTCTTTAGTATTATTTCACTTGTAATTTTGGAGTGGAATAAAGTATTGATTGTGTCCGAGGGAGTAGGCAAAATTGGCAGAACCTCGTAAATTCTGGTGTTCTTTTATTGTTATCTTATTGTCTTGTTTATTATTTAGTGGT